GTATATATACTGTATATAAATAATAGATTACATAGCAAGTCATTATTATCATATGAAATAAAAGGATTTAACTGAGTAACTGTGTTTAGTGTTGGAGCGGCCGGTCATATCTGCTCGGTTGGGGACGTTGAAGAGGAAGCAGCAGGTGCGTCAGTTCCTAGAAGCTCTGCCCAAAGAGGACGTTGATGATGCTTTCAGCTCCACGTACATGCAGAACAAACGCTTGGAGGTTTGTCTCCTTCAGTGACCGTGATGTTACGATGAGAGTCCAGGCGCTAACTCTTCCTCATTAATCTGCCGGTGCTCAGATTCCCTCCATGTGTCCGAGTGAGGAACAGGACTTTGAGCTGTCAGACTTTGAACCTCAGACCCCGATGTCTTCGCGTTTCCCTGAAGTGAAGACGCCTCAGTGTTTGCATATCACGCCCGGCATGATCGGCTCTCTGGACACGTAAGAGATGACTTTGTTAGGACTGATAAACACCACCTTACCTTTTCTTTATTTTATGTTTTGTTTTGCTTTGCTTTGCTTTTAAAGAAATCATGATGACAAGTTTGTCTATCAGCTGCAGAAGAGGATTAAAAAGAATCGGTTTAATGTTTGCAAAACATCACATTCTTCAAAGGTATTGATTTCTCAAGAGTTTATTATTTATACCAGTTGGATCTGAAATCACATAAACATCCTTTGTTTCTTTCAGAGGTTCACACCAACACCATCAGTAAAAAAAGCCGTCCGCAGATGTGGTAATACAGGTGGGCATCCTAATGAGCTGATCCTTTCACATGGCTGATTATATTCACAGCATGGACAACATAATGCTTAGTAATTGTACAACATCACACAGCAACGTTTCATTCTACGCATTAATTGAATTGTTGCTTTACTTTTTTTATTCACCAGAATATGATACATTTTTCATTCGGGAGATGTTCCCAGAAAACAACGGAGAGCCGTCTGACAGTGAAGAGGAAGAAGACTTCTACTTTTCAGACCACTGACTGGATTTAGAACTGAAATGTCTTTTTCCCTGATTTTATTATATTTTATTATGAAATTGTTCATTTAAATCAAAATAGGAAGAACAGATTGAAGAAAAAACGGTAATTTTTTACTGTCTTTAAATGGTTTCTAAAAAATTAGACTATTTCTTTTCTGTTGTGTATAAAACGTGGCCAGTTACAGAATTAAAAAGACTTCTTGGGTGACATACTAGTGCTGCAAACTTTCATTAAACCTTTTTTGTAAATATATTTTTGTTTGGGGTATTTTCTCAATGAAATGATTATCGTGGTTTTATAATAAACTTTTTGTTCTATTTTTGTTTAATATTATTCATGTGTGACATTCGATTTTTATACGTAACGTTTCTAATACAACTTATTTTAAAAGGAAGTGTAGCATGTGTTTAATCTGGACCAAATGTCACAGGGATGTTTAGATGASTGTTAAAACACTCCAAAACGAAATTTGGGGAACTGACTTCCATTAATAACTCAAAAGCATAGTGGGAAAACAATACTGAAAAATGCACACCTTTAGAAGAGATGAAAACTTTAGAGATTCCTGAAGATTACCAAAAAAAAAAAAAAAAGCACAATATTCCAGTTTTGAAAAGATAACTACAGCCTAAAATAAGTTTGTTATATATTTTTTTAGTCTTCTGTGGAAGATAAACATTTGAGGCAATGCTATATACAGGTGCTGGTCATAAAATTAGAATATCATGAAAAAGTAGATTTATTTCAGTAATTCCATTTAAAAAGTGAAACTTGTATATTATATTCATACATTACATACAAACTCATATATT